ACATAATTTGTATAGCGCCTGAATATGAAACATGTATAGCAAATAGTTTAAGTTGCTCTTTGACAATAACTTTTTATAATAAATTTAATATTAGCATGCTATATGTTAATATTTATCTTAGTATCTTTATTATCAAATCTTTTAAACATCTTATATATCTTTATCTATTTCAAATTTCTAAAAGATATCTTTTTGAAAAAATTACAAGACATCTCAAGACACAACAAAATATTTTTTAAAAATCTAAAAGATATCTAAAAGAATCTATTGGTCTTTCTGGTTACATATTTATTTTACTATATTTAATTAATAATATTTTATTCTATTGCTTTCAAGCAAAATTCTCATAACATGAAATAATATAAATTATAACTTAAAAATTATAATTAATTATATGAATTTTATTTTTCAAGAAATTATTATAATTTAAAATAAATATATTGATTTACTTCTTTGTAACAAATATGTTTATCATTCATATTTTTTATAATGGAAATTTATAATGGAAATGATCGCGTGATATGATGAGTACATTTCTGTTTATTCAAGAAATATTATATGCGCGATGTACATGGAAAGAGAGAGAAGAGAGATATATTCATACGAGAGGTAGTATTTTCCATAATGAAGTAATCATATGAATAGACTCCAAGGTGAAATATCTATGACACTAAACACAGATAAGTTGTGCAATTCTTTGTTTTAAATCACGCCAAATTTTTTGACAAATATGATATTAAAAAAGAAATTATATTCTACTATTATAGATAAAATCGCCTTATCTTTTTCATATATTACCCGCTGCTGTAAAAGAAACGAAGTGATAATTTATGAAATAATAATGTGTAACAGATTGTGTTATGTATTTCCTTTTTAAATGGTAAAAAAATTAGACAATATCAAACAAAATATCATGAAAGAAGACACGCGAAATATAATAATAGTTTAATGTTTTTTTTTTTAATATGCTTTTGTTACAACATAGAATACAATTGGATTAAATTTCTTAGTCTATTCTGACGTCATTTTGTATACGCACTAAAACTTAATGACGATTACAGAATTATTAAAAAAAAAAACGCTTATGTATCGATATATGTATCTATGTAAATATTTTAATCGCATCAAAGCACTCTTCTATTTTTACATGATCAGTATTACACTGTAAAAGGAAACTAAAAGAATGAAAAGATGACTTCCCATAATTGTTCTCGTGGTATATGCCCCTGTTCCACTTTTACGATACATACCATACGATACATACCATACATACACATTACATATGTACATACAATATATGTTAGCAATCGCTTTCGTAGATCGAGTCTTCCTTTCCTACACTATTCAGGGAATGAAATTATAAAACTGAGAAACAAATGTGAATTGTGAAATCGCATTTATGTTTGGATTCGACCAAGAAATACAACTCATACAATGCGCTCATTAGCCAGATTTGACGGGGTTCTCCTTCTGAGAAAAATGTCGCTTATTAATGCTGGTAACGTACGCGGCCTTATTTACAATGTGATGAATTGAAGCCGCAGAGAGAAAAACGAGGCATGACTCATTCGATAAAAGCAAATGGAACATTCCCTTGATGGATACCATCACGATGCACCGTGTAGAGTATTTACTAACTAAAGCAGAATAAAACAAGGACAGAATTTTATGAAATAAATACTTTATTTGGAATTTTCTTTGTTGAATTGTATTGTAATTAAATTTCCATTAATAATAATAATCATATAATAATAATTTAAACAATAATAATAATTTTATAATCTTAAATAACAATATCAATAAATATCTTATATATATATATATATATACATGAAAATAATGTTAAATTTATTAAATAACCAGTTAGTTGATTTATATAAAAATAATTTTTCAAAACTGAATCTACAAAATATTTAAAAATATATCAATTAAAATGATAAAATACACATACATATATACATACGTTAATGTTTATATACAATTTATATTAATGTATTATAAATAGATTTATAACATCAAATTTTGTTTACTTTTTTAATATTCTTCTATAATAAGCGTTTTACAGAAAATATTATAGATGAATATAAAATAGTATTAAAAAATAAATAAACAAAATACGAATAAATAACAAAAAAATGAAAAAAATAAATTTTTACCATTAAAATTTAAAGGATACACATGTTGTATAATAATAAAATATTCATCAATGTTCGTCACTATCTAATTCACGTTTTGAATCAATTAATTTATCAAGCAAATCAAGGAAAGTTAATGCATAATATTAATGCGGAATGTAATGCATTTATTGTTCACTCTGCATGTTCACTCTGTATGTGAATCTATTTGTGGTTATATGTTAATTAATATATTATTTGCCGTCTTTTCTCGCATTTTATTTTAAGCTAGTAATTATAATAAATATAACAGAGCAATATTATTATGTATATATGCAGTACCAGGCATTTTCATTCATGAACGACAAACATCAAATTTAATTGACGATTTAATTGTAAATTATCAATATAAATAAGAAAAGAAAAGTAAATCAATAATAAAATTTGATGAATATAATAAACTGTTTCGTAAATTCATAAATCTTCTCATTTCTTCATATACACAACGTACGTATCTTTAAGAAAATTTTTGTTTTAAAATGCTTACTTCGCGACAAGTATCAAAATGGTAGGCAATAATGTGGCAAATACAAGTTTAATGGAATCGGCACCAGCATTGAAATCTGGTAATTCAGGTGCTGTGCCATTTTCGTAGAATTGATAATTCTTAACGCCAATGTGTGTTCGTATGAGACGATAATTAGGCATGTTGATATCAACGCGATTGTTTAAGAAATTTTGTAACATATTGGTGACACACCAAAGATTACCGGCTTCATCAAAAGCAAAACTATCAGGCCACTGCGTTAGCACGTGATCACGTGATATAATTCGCTGACCAACGGCAAAGGATTGTGTATTTTTGGTATCCCACATGGCGATGGCATCGTCACCTAATAGACCAAAGTAAAGTATACCAGTAGATGACATTAGCATACCATCTGTCTGTGAGGACTTTTGCCCATGTTCTTTAACGTATTGGTCAACATTTGTCACATTGTTCTTCAAAACGGATACCGGGATCGAGTACAAAGAGAAAGAAGACAAAGGTGAATAATAAACTTGTCTGAAACAAATTCGTTTGTTGATCATTAAAAAATTTTGCATAAACATAAAATCTCGGTATAGAAAAATATTAATAAGTTTTTACATGTATACATTTATATATATATA